TGGCGAATGTGTCGGCCGATCTCCGCCCTCTCTGGGGTGCTGGGGTCGGCGTCGGCTGGACGCGCAGTTCCCAGCCGGATTCGGGGCCACTTAACCCAGCAGTAGGGTCCTCAATGATGCCCCCCCCCCCCCCCAAAAGTTTTCGGCTAGCAATAAAACTCGTCCCTCTCCTCCTCCTCCCCCTGCGTCCCATCCGCCAGTAAGCCCGCGCAGAAAATATGTGGTTTCCCATTCATGGGGGGGTTATTCAAGATCCTTCAGGGTTATGAGCCAGCAGCCCTGGTGATTCCCACCTCTCCGCCCTTTACCAGCGCCGCAGGCGTCGACCGTTGTTCAATCGCGCACGTGTGACTGTCGTAGCTGCCGTGAGGGCCTCAAGCGGTTGGAGGATAGCAGGAAAGGCTCAATGACGATTCCGTCATCGCTCTCGCTGATGGTGATGATGGCGGCGATGACCTGGACGGTAGCGGTGACGACATTGTCTCATGGCCTGATTGGGTCTAAGGTCCAGTGGTACTTGCGGCATGAAAGGCTCCGACGATACCCCCTGGACGAACAATAGGGTGATCAACGGGCAAGACTCCACCGAGTGCGAGTGGACGTGGCAGGTTGGGCTGACGAGCGTGCCCCTTTTTGCGGTGGTACGCTCATCGCAGACAGGTGGGTGCTTACAGCGGCTCACTGCGTAGACAGCGGCTCCTCGCCGTACGTGGTTGCAGGGAGTCACGATGCATACCAGGTCGACACCAACGAGATTCAGGTGTCAGTGAGTAACATGTTTCTGCATCCGCTCTATGCGTTCCCTTACTACGACATTGCCTTGCTCGAGCTCGAGGATACGGGTTCGACACCCTGGCATCGATAGCGCACACCTTCTCATCCTCCTGCTACTCCTCTCCTCTTTTTCCTTCTCCTTCCTACTTCTTCTCTCCTCTTCGTCCTTCTTGTGCCTCTCCTTACCTCTTCTCCACCCTCCTGCTTTGCCGCTCTCACCGCTATGATTCCTCCTTCTCTTCGTTTTTCTTTCTCGTCCCTAGCAGTGCCCTCCTGCTCTGGAAGCCCCCCTGGAAGGTTCCAGCCCTCCGCGTTCCCTCTCCGTTCTTCTCAGATGCTCCTGTCGCGATCGGGTCGCCTCCACATGCGCTGAAGCTTGTGGGGTGCTGCGGTCGGGTGGGGAGGAGCGGGGAGGGGGAGGAGGACGAGGAGAGTGAGCAGTTGGAGGAAGGTGGGCAGGAGGAGGAAAAGGAGGGGAGAATACTGAAGTGGAGTCCCAGCGCCCTGAATTGAACCATGTCTTCAGCTGCTATCTGGATTCGTACTCCCGAAGCGCAGAATGCCGTAAGAGTTCCTAACACTTGTGCTAGCGCAATGTTCGCCAGCGTGGAGGATCCCAAGCAGAGGGTTCTGCACTTTCGATGTGCAATGCCTGTGGTGTGCGTCGTGTCCTGTGCAACGTGCCGCTATCTACATGGCGCCGCACATGCGATGCAGTACATGTGTTACAATTTTTGGGGCACAATCAATGTGGTGCAAGTTCGTAGTAAGGTGCAGTTTTTGCGATGCAAGACATGCGGTGCAAACTATGTGATGCAACCCCTATGTGTGTATACACACATATATATATATAGCTTATGACGGCCTTGGGACGATCCACCAGGCTCCCAAGTCGGCCCAAGAGGACCCTGGGAGGGGCCCCAGATGGGGCCCAATACGGCCCAAGATGAACCCAAGACGGCCCAAGAGGCGTCCAAAATGGCCCAAGACGGCTCCAAGACGGCCTGGCGAGCGTCCTACAAGGCCCCAGAGGGCCCCAGGAGCCCCCCCAGGAGTTCCAAAAGGGTTTCCTACAGGGTCGCCCGCGGCAGGGGAACGCCATTCGAACAATCAGCGCGAGATCTACGACGGTCGCTGACTGCGTCGCACATCCCAGAACGCACCGCCAAAGTTCTGTCCCCTCAACTCCGTGGATTTAATCCACGGGTCCATACTAGTATCTAGATGTATAGATGGTGCATTCACAAGCCGAAGTTGCAGTCATCAACTTCAATGCTCGCGCAAGTATCCCACCCTCCCGCCAATTTGTAAAGCAACTGTTAAGCAACATGGTCTTTCCATTGATCCTATCGATGCATCGGTGTATTCTATGATTGCCGCCCCCTCTGCGCGGCGACCATTTTCCCCTGCTCAGCCGATGTGTCGTGTGACATGGCTTTTGTAAGCGAGCGAGTGAGTCCCACCAGGAGGAGGGGGGAGGAGGAGGAGGAGGAGGAGGAGGAGGAGGAGGAGGAGGAGGAGGAGGTGGAGGAGGCGGAGGAGGAGGAGGAGGAGGCGGTGGAGGAGGAGGAGGAGAGGGAGGAGGAGGTGGAGGAGGGAGGAGGAGGAGGAGGAGGGGAGGAGGAGGGGTGAGGAGGGGGGAGGAGGAGGAGGAGGTGGAGGAGGTGAGGACGGGGGAGGGGAAGGGAGGGGGGGGGAGGGGGGTGAGGAGGAGGCGGAGGAGGAGGTAGGGGGAGGAGGAGGAGGAGGAGGAGGAGGAGGAGGAGGAGGAGGATGAGGAGGAGGGGAGGAGGAGGGGGAGGAGGAGGAGGAGGAGGAGGAGGAGGAGGAGGAGGAGGGGGAGGAGGAGGAGGAGGAGGAGGAGGAATCAGCTTGTTCGGTTGTGATGGCGGTTGGCGGTTGGAACTTGCCGGTGCATCGCTGCGGCCGCACTGGTGCGCGCCCTCTCGCGCGTGGATCGGCCGGCTGGTTTGGCACAAATGATGCGGCCGCGATGGCGATTGCCGATTGGAATTTGACAATGCCCCTCAAATCAGGAGGGGAAAAAACACACAGACACAATTAACCGTCGACTCCCCAGAACATATGGGAAAACATGGGAAGTGGGGGGGAAGACAAAAACCCAGAAAGTATGGGGAAATATGGGGGATCCTGTTATTTGTGTGTGTGTGTGTTTATTTGTGTGTCCCAGGGCCCCTTCAATTTGACAACGCGCCTCATGGGCCGCGTTGGCGCGAGGCCACTCGAGTCCGGGTCGGTGGCTCGGGCGGGCGCAATTTCATGATAAGGTCGACCTCGGCGACGTCGACGACGACGATGAGGACGGCGGCGGTGATGATCCCGACGATGGCGATGATGTTGTAGTTGCTGCTGCTGGTGATGATGCTGCTGATGATGCTGATGCTGCTGATGATGCTGATGATGCTGATGATACTGATGCTGAGGATGCTGATGAGGATGTTGCTGCTGCTGCTGCTGCTGATGATGATGATGATGATGATGATGATGATGATGATGATGATGAGGATGAGGATGAGGATGAGGATGAGGACTGCGTTGATGAGGGTGCAGAGAAAGTGCGCGCCCGCAGAAATCACGCCAACCCGACGTGATCCCAAGGGGCGCGCGCGGACGCGTGCGCGTGCGGCCCGCATGCGGTTGTTTGACGGAGCGGGCAGGTGCGCGATGGCCGTTGCACGTTTTTGGGCATGCCCGCGCAAGTGGCCGGGCTGGCCTGCTGTGGCAGACAGACTGGCTAAAGGCACATCGTTTCTCAAGATTTCGACGAGGGCGCGCGCAGACTCTTGGCGAGTTTTTTGTTCAGCAGGCCGAGCTGCTTTTTCATAGCTTAGACTCGCAATGCTTCGAAACTGCTGGACTGCCAATGGTTTTCGTAGGGTTCTGACGTGCGCGCGCGGCGGCGCTTGCCTGTGGACCCTGTGGTGTTTTTGTGCAAGGGATTCTTGAAACATTGGGATAAGCGAGTGTACGCGCATAGTATCATTTGACATGGATAAGGGGGGGGGTCAATATCCGCCTCGCCAGGGATGGTACGATTTTAGATGGAAAAATGAGCGATGAGGCAGTCGCTCCAGGTTGCCCCACGATTCCCGTAGGACGCCGCACCACCAAGAGAGCCCACGAGGCCTCCTGGACGGTTCCAGGAGGCTCCGAAGAGGTCCTCAAGAGCCTAACACGGCCAAAGATGGCCTAAGAGGGCTTCAAGACGCGCCCTAGAGGGCAAAACAGATTGACAAACAATCGTGCTTACAAGATTTTTGCCTGTTCCATTTTTGGCGCACGTCAGGCCCCAAGATCACGTCAAGGCGGTCCCCATAGCCCCCGAGATTGCCAGAGCCGGCCCCCCCAGCCCCCAAGATGCCGTCCAGATCGCCCTGTCCCTGGATGGCCCATGACGGCCCCAACCAGGCCCCGAATTCCCCCCAAGAGGCTCCCGAGATGGGCCCCGCAGGCCCCAGCATGATTGTCCCAAGATTGCCCACGAGGTCCCAAAGGTGGGCGCCTCGTGCGCTGGCTGGTTCTCTGGGCTTTCCCGCGGTGCCCGCCCGTGGGCGCCTCGTGGGCGCGCCGTGCGCTGGCTGGCTGAGGTCGCACCCCCAGGCGTTCTTTTCTTGGCCGCACGGGCCCTCCCTGGTGTACAGGAGGAGGAGGAGGAGGAGGAGCATGAGGAGGAGGAGGAGGAGGAGGAGGAGGAGGAGGAGGAGGAGGAGGAGGAGGAGGAGGAGGAGGAGGAGGAGGAGGTAACATGGAGGCAGGATTGGAGAACCAGCAGGCAGGAAACAGAGGACAGCACAGGAAGCACGAAGCAGCAGTTCAGCATGCACCTCCACGGCCCTGCGCCCCCAAGGGGGCCAGCGGATTGTCTGGTGCCCACGCGCTGCTATCATTCCGTGAGCCCCCGAAGGACAGCCTGCCGCTGGGCGGCTGCATCGACGTCGCCTGCCTTCCCACCGCGCCGGTGCCCGCGGGCACGCAGTGCTTCATCACCGGGTGGGGTCAGACCGAGACCGGCGCGCAGGGCGCCCACGTGCAGGAGGGCGCCATGACGATCCTGTCGGACGCCACGTGCGGCCAGTACTACGGCCGCCCGGGGGGAGGCAAGTCGTCTGTCAGGAAGCGGGGTGCACACGGTGCGGCCAGCCGGGGCGAGAGCTGGACCAGTGCACGAGTGGAGCGTTCCAGAGGAAGGGCCTCGCTCCCTCGAGGAGCGAAGGAGTCGTCACCTCTTCCGCGGCGGAAGGGCGGCGCAGGGGCGGCGGAAGGTCGGCGGAAGGGTAACGAGGCCGCCGCCGCCGGCGGAAGCCGGCGGGAGTTCGGCGGAGGGCGGCCGGAAGGAAAGCGTGTGCCCCCAAGAGGTGACAAAAACGTTTCTGGGCTCAGCGTCTCCAGAACCGCCCCTGTGGCCGCAGGTCTCTCCTGTGGCCGCAGCCCTCCTGTGGCGGGGTGTGCGCCGGCCCCGCGCGCGGCCTCCACGTATGCTCGCCTGGGAGATCCCGCCGGGGGCGTTTCCGGCTGCTGAGGTACGCCCCATGGCCTCCGCCATTTCTGACCCTGCCCTTCCAGACCCCCTCGCGTCGCGAGAGAGTCACGACGGGAGGCTTTCCCGATCTTCGGCCTTCGGGGGCCCCTCCCGGGCCTCGGGACCGTCACACAGCGGCTCGGCTGCAAAGCCGGTGCCGGGGAAGGGGTCCAGACCTCTGGGGGCCGACGTTGTGAGAACGTCACGACGTTGGGGGTCTGTGCGACGCGATGATGTCTGGGGCGACACCTCACCAGTGGCGCTCTTTCGCTGCACCCTTGGGCTCATGCCGCACGGCGCGGCCCCGTGCCATGAGACCCTGCGCGGCCCGCGGTACATTTTGGCAGCAGAGGGCCTTGCATGAGCACTGCGGGGAGCTCGGGCTGCCTGGCCGCCGCCGGGAGCTCCGCGTGAGAGCCGCCTCCACAGGCTCAGGTCTCAAGCAGTGGCGATGCGTCCTGGCTCGCCTATAGCCCTACCAAACAATGTTCTAAGAACCCTGTGTGGTTTCCACGAACTGTTCTTAGAACATGTCTGGTTGAGATTGTCTTGTTTTAACACATCGGGCTTATGTTCTAAGAACATTGTTTTTGTTCTTGGAACATGTTTGGGTTATGAGAACACTTCGTGGCAGGACTATAGGAATGCCGGGACGGTCGGTCCCCGATCCGGTCCCCGGTGCCTGGCCGCCGCCGGGGAACAGGGAACTGGCAACACCCACGCTATGGCGATGATGTTCTTCGCTCGGCCAAGACTCTGCAACTTTGGCTGTACCCTTGCTTGCTCAGCGAGTTCGAGCAAAACACTACTACACAGAGATGCCTTGCCGACCGTCGACGCTTTGGCTCCGCGTGAGAGCCGTCTCCACAGGCTCAGGTCGGGCACCGGTCTCCCCCCGGGCGGCCTCTGGAGGAGCCGCCGCCCGCCCCGATTTTTTCTCGCGTCACGACGCGAGCAGGTCCGGGGCCAGCGCTGGCCTCCTCCGCTGCTGGCCCTGCCCTCGTCTCGCCCCCCCCCCCCCCTTGTATAGTCTGTTATGTTGGTAGACTGCAGGTTCAGCGTAGGGAAGTGGGGGCTTTGCCTTAGCCATTTGGGGTCCGTAGTCGTGGGCTCGAGTTCGAGCCAGGACTCGGGGGGTCCCGGGGGGCCGCGGGGCGGCCAAAACCGCAGCGTCCTGCACCGCCAGCTCTGGGGAGCGGGTGTGCGGACGTGGCCGGCGCTACCAGCCTCGTGGCGGGTGCGCGGGCCAGCGGTGCCATGGCCGTGGGCTTCCTCGGGGCGCATGCCGTGATCTTGGCGGGTGGTGGGGCGTTCTCGGCCCAAGGGGCGATGGGTTGGTGGCTTCTTGGCCGCGCGGGGGACGCAATGTCCCCAGCGCCGGCGCCGCCATCTCAGCCCGGGCCGAAACTCCGGCCCGCGGGCGGCGGGGGGCATGGCAAGGGGCGTGCTCCGCCCGCCAAGCCTGCGCCTGCGGGAAGGAAGGGGGTGAGGCCGCGGCCAAACCTCTGGGGCGAATCCATGCTGATGATGTTTGTTTGTTGTTGTCTCCATTTCGTATTTCTTTGTGGATTTTCCGGTGGGTTATCGCACTTTTCTTTTAATTTTTAATCATTTGTTTACTTTTGGTTATGTCTCTTCGTCTTTCGTAAATGTTCCTGCTATTGTCGTTTTATTAGGGTTAAGTGGTTCATTTAACTCTTTTTCCCTTTTCTTTTGCTCTTTTTTTTGTTCTTTGTTTTTTTTTTTGCATTTTACTTTCTATTTTTATTCCTTCAGTTGCTTTGCTTTTTTTACCACAACCACGACGACGACTACGACGTCGACGACTACGACGACATCTTCGCAGCCCGGCCCGAGCCGCGAGCGCGGGGGCGAACCCGCAGTTAGCCCAGCCGCGGCCTGGCCCGCAGGCCCCATTTCCACTACGAGTGGCGTCGGCCGCGCGCGCGGGAGCGGACCTTCGGGTAGCCCAGCCGCGGCCGAGCCAGCGGGCGGGTCGGGTGCCCAGGGCGGTCCCAGTAGGGAAGAGCCACGCACCCCGCCCACGCATCCTGGGAGACCCGGCGAGGCATCAGGCCAGCCGACGGGGCCCCTGGGCACCTACGGGCCCGGCGAGGCCGCGCTGAGCTTCGACCCGCTGCGCTTCAGCTGGCTGGTTGCTGGCTGGTTGGCCTGCTGCGCGTTGGGCGCAGAGTTCCGACATCGCCGCATGGAGGCTGAGCTGGCCGAGAAAGGCACCAACCTGCAGCTTTGGGCGACCGAGGCGCTCGACGCCGGGGGGAAGCTGGCCGAGGCCCGGTCGCGGTGCACTGCTCTGGAGGCCGAGCGGTCTCGCGCCGCCGAGGGAGCCGAAGCGTGGCGCCAGGCTTACGAAGAGGAGGCGACTCGCCGGCAGGAGACGGCGCGGCGACAGAGGATGGCCGAGAGGAGAGGCTTTTTATTTTTTTTTTTTATGTCGTTTTTTCTTTTTTCTTTCTTTTTTTATTTTCTTTAGTTTTTTTTTTTTGTTTGTTTTTTTTTTTTTTTTTTTTTTTTTTTTTTTTTATTTTTTTTTTGTTTTCTTTTTATTTTTTTGCTTTTTTTTCTCTCTTCCTTTTTTTTGTATTCTTATCTTTTTTTTTTTTCTTTTCTTTTTTTTTTCTTTTATTTCCTTTTTCTTTTTTTTTTTTATTATTTTCGTAATTTTTTTCTCTTTTTTTTTTTTTTTTATTTTTGTTTTTTTTTCGCCCAAGGGAAGAGCCAGGCGTGCGAGTGCGAGCGGGCGCGCAGATTCCGTGCCGAGGAGGCCTTGGCGGGGAGCCGCGCGGACGTCGACGTCGACAACTTGTGGGCGTGGATCGACGGCCTGTTGGCATGGATCGACCGCCTGACGACGAACCTCGAGCTGGGGGCCACGATCGCCGAGAACCTGCGGGCCCGCGTCGACGAGCTCGAGGCTGCCGCAGAGACGGGGGGCGAGGTAGGAGTAGGCACCGCGGACTTTGTCACGGGGCCACGCGCCGCTGGGGACGAGGAGACCGAGCGGGCGGTCCCGCCGCCCTCGCGCGAGCCCGGCGGGGTCGCTCCGACCGAAGGGGCCGGCGGCAGAGGAGGAAGAGGAGTGGGCGGCGGAGGCGAAGGAGCGGCGAGGGAGGAGGTCTTTCCGAGAGCGAGTATGAGGAGGCGGAGGAGGATGAGGAGGACCACTACCCAGGGGGAGCTCATTCCCGAGGAGCCCGAGGAGATCAGCCTCGGGGAGCATCGCGCCCTGGGCGACTCCGCGGCTGCCTCGGGCCTGGCGCCGGGAGCGGGCGACGATGGCGACGACGATGCGGGGGTGCCGGGAGGGTCAGAGGTCAAACTGGTCCGCGCCCGCGCGGACGTCCACGGCGCCCGGTTGCCGGCGGGTTGCTGGGGCCCCGTTGGTGCCAGCGCCCGCGCCGTCGCCGAGGCCCGCGCCGGTGCCGGCATCGGCGCCCGTGCCCCCGCCGACTCTGACACCAGGGAGTACCGCAACGGGGGGGCGCGCATGGGGTCGTGGACAGGCGCGGACGTGGAGCTCGGCGCTGTGCACCTGGGCGACGCCGGCGCCGACGACCGCACCGACACCTACGCCTCCGCCGTCGCCCGCGCTGGCCCAATTGCCTGCGCCCGCGCCCGCGCCGACGCCGACGCCATTTGCGACGCGCCCGCTGACGCCGGCGGCCGCGACTTCGACGCCTCCGCCGGCGCCGGCACTTTCGCCGCCGCCGCCGCGACCGGCGACGCCGATGCCGGAGCTGGCGCATATCGCAACGCGGCGCCTCCGCCGCCGGCTCCGGATCTTTGGCGCGGCGCTGGCCCCGAGCTGAAAGCGCGGCTGCGCCGGCGCGCCCTGCCCCTTGAGGGGGCCGGAGGCGCGCTCGCGGGGCGCCGCTCTGAGCGGGCAACTGCGGAGGCGGCGGGGCGGGCGCTACCGGAGGCCAAGCAGTACTGGTTGACGGTTGTGCCCGAGACCTGGGAGGTCGCGCCGACGGATCGCGAGGAGTCCCCCCGAGAAGCCCCGGGGGCCCTGGAGTTGGGGCAGCCGCTGCTGGATGAGGCTCGCCGCCACCGCGCCGCGGGCGTGAGCGTCGCCGAGGACTTGAGGAGGGCCGCGGGGTCGGACGGGGCCGAGACGGTCGTGGAGGCCGACGAGGTTTGTGACCTGGACTGGGCCAGGCTCGGCGCCGCGGGCCCCGAAGAGGGCCCCGTTCCCAGCATTGACGCCACCGCCGTCGTCGACCCCGCCGTTGCCGCCTGCGCCATCGTCAGCGCCGACGCCAACGCCGACGCTGACATCGACGCCGATGCACGGGCTGGCACCGGGGCCGCCTCCTGCGACGCTAGCGCCGACGCCCCCAATGTCTCCGCCTCCGCCGCCTACAACGCCAGCGACGACGCCAGCGCGGGCGCCTACGCCGAGGCCGCCGCCGAGCCCGACGCCGGCGACCGCGCCCCCGGCTCCGACGCCTATGAGGACGTTGCCGCTTCCGCGGCCGCCGGCGCAGGCGCCGGCGCCCACGCTCCCAACGTCACCGCCGACGCCGGCGTCAACGCCCTCGGTTGCGAGGCCCGCGTGGGCGCCGCTGCACACCCGGCGGCGAGCGCAGGCGCCAGCACCGACGCTATCGCCCTCACCCGCTCGGAGGCCGGCGAGGTCTGGGCCGCGCGTTGGTCCAGACCTGG